CAACATTTTTAAATAGGAAACATATTCAGAGCTGCTTTAACTCACAGATTCAACACAGTACTGGAACATGACATCATCGTGACATCATCGTGACATCATCGCGACATCAGCTGCAGATTTGTCGGCTGCATCCATGAGGACAGTCCCGTTCCTCCACCTCCCAGAGCTGCCCTGTTGGACCCGTGACTGTGGAGGCCGTCTGGGGGCCGTGGACTCGTCGTCATGCTCTAGCAGAGATGAGCTCCTGCTGAAGACGCCGTGGTCGACGGACCTGGTCAGCAGCAACCGCTGACACGGGCAGGATGGATCCGTGCTACCAATGTCCACCAGCCGACACTCATTGGACCAGGAAGTGTTTCTCCACCTTCCGGTGTCCGGGTTTGTGAGTCTGTGTGAATCATAGGCTCAACTTCCTGTTCTCACTGACAGGAGTGACCTCTGACCTCTGACCCTGCTGCTGCTCCCTGAGGTGGTTGGTGGGAAAATCCCAGTCGTGCTGTGGTCCCTGATTCAGAGACTGATGCTGCCTTGTGATTGGCAGATATTTGTTTGAGCAGGTGTACCTAATGAAGTGGCTGGTTAGTAAATGATGTAAAAGAGGAAGCAACACCAGCCCATGTGCATGACGCCTCCAGCTGCAGACAGATGTTTGCTGTGACACAGTCGTTATCATCATAATGATGCGTGACGTCGGCGCGCTCTGTCCGCCGCTTGATGCATATTGAAGCTCAGCGTCGCCTCGTCACAAGCTTTTCTCTTATTACTGCCTGACTCTTCTTCACACCTGCAGCGAGGCGCCCCGGCTGGTACCCAATGAAAGCTGCCGCTTTGCCCAACCATCGTGGCCTCAGTCCAGTAAGACCTCGCCGCCACGCTGTGGCTGACTGGCTCACTTACTCCGCACCGTGTGTGTCACAATCATCACATCAGAGGGAAAATGGGCTTCGGCGCCTCTGTATCTGAAACCAGAGCTTAATTTGCTCGCAGGATGGCGAGGACGGTCGTTTAGAATAGCAGGTAATCAGTCCGCTAATGAATTCGCCATAAAAACCTGCTGTTAGCAAAATGACTCATGATTTGATCCTGCAGCCTCGAGCACAAAGGAAGGGAGACTGGATTAAAAATCTAATTTTAAAGCCTCTAAAACATGACGAGCTGAACGCTAAAGTGTGGGGAAAACAGAGGCATCGCGTATTTAACACGATTCAGTGTGACGGCAACTTTCATCAGGATGTGGGAAGCACAGAAATCACTCAGGAGATACAAACCAGTACAAGCGCCCAACAAACCCAGTGTCACCATGCTCTCCTGTGGACAGCTCGGTACCATTTCTCACTCAGGTGAGTAACTAAAGCAGACTCACACATTTACAGCCCGTTCTGGTCTCCCCCTTCATGCCCCTGCAGGGGGGAGACTCACTTTAGTTATGTATCACTAACAGAACACAGCGTAGTGTGACATGGAGCTGCTTCACCAGCAGGAGAAGAAACAAATCTCCTGTGGGGTTAAGAACAACATGTGAATGTGCAGCTGAATTAGCTGCTTACAGTAATGTGCTGAAAGCTGCTGTTCAAAAACAGGACATAATGAGCAGTGGAGCATTTTAAACCCCACACAGGATTTCTGTGGATTCAATTTATTTATACAGCACCAAATCACAACCACAGTCGCCTCAAGGTGCTTTATATTGTAAGGTAGACCCTACAATAATACATACAGACAACAATCATATGACCTTTGGCGACAGTGGGAAGGAAAAACTCCCTTTTAACAGGAAGAA